CTTGCCTGCATTCCCAGCTTGGTTCATGGCTCATTACCCACATGCAACCCCCTCTCTCCTGTCCTAGGAAGTTGTTCCTGCTGGGAGTTGAGTTGGGCTGGTTCTCCTCTGAGTAAGGAGGCTGCAGGGAGCCCTAGGGAGCTGCTGTGCTGGGTCACACTGCCCTGCTCAATGACCACCAGGTCCTGACTTTTCAGCAGCTTGCCTGCATTCCCAGCTTGGTTCATGGCTCATTACCCACATGCAACCCCCTCTCTCCTGTCCTAGGAAGTTGTTCCTGCTGGGAGTTGAGTTGGGCTGGTTCTCCTCTGAGTAAGGAGGCTGCAGGGAGCCCTAGGGAGCTGCTGTGCTGGGTCACACTGCCCTGCTCAATGACCACCAGGTCCTGACTTTTCAGAGGTTGGGATAAGCCCCAGTCATGCTGCCAGTAGTGCAGTACTATCCTGTGGGTGGAAGGGTCTTCCTGATGTCAGGTGGGGATGGGCCAATTGCCCTGGGTGTGGGAAGCTGGAGACCCTCTCCTTAGAAGTGAGTCCCTACAGATGCCAGAAGAATTTTGTTTCCAAAGCACTTTAGTAACTTTGAAGATGAATTACAGGCTCTTAAGTCACTTGAGTTCTCTGCAAAGCCTTGCTTATCCATAAGAATCTATTATCCTTTACTGAAAGTTTAACTTGGTGCCCTGCAGCTGTGGCTGGCACAGGTAAATTACAGGCTTCTTTTAAACTCCTGCCCTTTCCCCCATTGTAAATGTGTCATATGTCTATCTACCTCCCTTCGTGTATATTGCAGTAGCATCCTGCTGTCTCCCATTGTGCCAGGTACAGTACAACTTTGCTAGGTGCTGTACAAAAACCTGGCCCATGACAGCCCATGCCTCCAAGAGCTTGTCACTCCAAGAGAAAGGATACGTAGAGGAGTGGGGGAGGAAGTTGAAATCCATGGGTGTGTGCAGCTCAGCTTGCCAGAAGCAGCTATGCCAACACCCCACCTGCCCTGTGTTCGCAGGGTGGAAGCTCTGCCTGTGGCAAGGAGGGATTTTGAGGGAGATGAGTGAGTCACTTTTGACAGGCAGCTAGTCCTACGCAGGAGGGGTTGGGAGCACAAGTCAGCCTTCCCCACACTGCAGTGTTCATTGTTTTATGAATATCGCTGCAGGGGGTGCGCTGAGGACAACTGTGAGAATCTCCCATCTCCAGAATAAACTCCATTCCAGAATGGGGACTTGGTTAAAAATAAATGTCTGGGGAAAGGGAGTGGGGGTGGGGAGCTTACAGTAGCATATAGGGGAGGGAGGACAGCCCCTTGGTCCCAGCAGCCTCAGAGGAAGAAAAATCCAAGAGACCTTTGGTGTGGGTGGTTTGGTGCTGTCAATTCAAACTACCATGGTGTGGGGTCCTGCTCAGCCCACCTGATTATGTGGGAGGCCCAGCTTTGTGCCAAGGTCCCCACCAGACTTGCGCCCTGTGCCAGCTGTCTGCAGTGGCACACATGTTCCTGGCTCCATGAAGGTTTCAAAGGCAGGGCTCTGGCAGCTTCAAATCCAGCAGTAGCAGAAAGCAGTGCTGGCGCTCCCCTTGACTGTCCAGTGAGCTGGAGCTTGGACCTCAAAATGGCACAGACTAGCCACAAAGGGAGAGGGGAGGGGAGGCTAATGCCTGTGGTTTTAACCACACAACAGCTTGTCTCTCGAGATTGGGGAGAGGGTCAGAGACAGCTGTAGGCAAACTGCTTGGGACCATTCTGCTCGTGACAGGCTGCCTCGGGGAGGAGCAGCCAGAGGGCAGGCCCCCACTGTAACTCATGGTGCTTTACATAAAGTGCCATGAGTTAGAGGCCCTCCCCACCCTGCCAGACATTCACCTGTTGGGTTGGGGGGCAGGGGGATAGACTCTGGCTGCAAGAGCCCAGGGAGCCTGCCCGCAGTAGAGAAGTCACCATTTTCCCCAGCCCTGCCCCTCCCCAGCTCCGGTGCTGTTTGCAGGAAGGGAGGGGGGAGACAGGAGCAGGAGCAAGCTGTGGGTTGGAGTTTGCCTGGCCTGAACTGGAGAGGGGTTTGGAGGGTCCGTGAGGCAGGGGGAGCTCCAATCCACCCATCCCGCTCCAGCTCAGGCTGGGCAAACCCCAACCCACAGCTGGCTCCCCCCCTGCAGACAGTCCCGGGGTGGGGCGGGGCTGGGCTGGGCTGCATGAGTGCAGCCCTGATCATGCTACAAATTAATCCTAGGGAGCACAAATCCCTTAAGGCGCTCCAAAATGGAGCACCTTTATCTGATCCCTCATTTGATGAGGCTTAACTTGTCACATGATCAGTCACTTTTAAACTGCTGTGCATGTATGTGACAGCATAGCTGTCAAGTGCTTTCAGGGGGCCGATTGTGGGACAAATGTAACTTCTGTCTGCACCCCATGTGACTCAGGTGACTTGTTGGAAGAAGGAAGGGTGAACAGATGCCACT